GCTCTTGAACCGATCTTTGTAAGTATCTCGAAATCGCTTAAAATAATTTTTAGAAATTTTTCCGGAATTTTTAGACCCCCGGAGGAGGCCTCACGCGCCACACTGCCGCCGCAGGGAGAGTGGAGGGCTGGAAACCGGTTTGACCGGTTTTCAACCGGTTCGAACCGGTTTGACCGGTCTGACCCGACCCGACTGACCCGACCGACCGACCCGACCGTTGACCGTTGATCGTTGACTTCCTTTGACCAAAACTTAAAATGGCTTTGACCGACCCTTAAACGACCGTAAATCTTTTCTGAATATACCTATTCTGATAGTTTTCGACGTCCCGAATCCGTTTCCGAAGTCCGTTTCATCAAATTCGAACCCGAAGGCCTCCAAATTGATGGTCAAATTGGTTGACTTTGACTTTGACCAAGAATCTTAATTTTCAAAAATTAATTCTTTATGTTTTTCGACGTCCTGATTCCGATTCCGTAATCCGTTTGGCCAAATTCAGACTCAAAATACCCAAAATGATAGTCAAACCCGAAAAATGCTTATATACTTAAGAATTTTACCCTAATTATTATTGTTTAAAGGTACAAGAGACTCTCCGGATCGTTCGACAGCTCAACCCAGCTCTTATAGATCAGTTAAACCACGTATACCAGTATTCACCCGTTCGAAAACTGTAGCAGAGCGTGGTGAAACCAGCAATCAGTAGATCTACTATCTGAACCCATTATCGAGGTGTGTTCATGTTTACTACATAATAGTTTTATATGTTTTGAAATATGGTACATTGAAATCTATGGATTATTATCGTTGGTACACCGAATTATTGTTGATGATTTATGGACTTTGATGACTGGTATATGGATATTGATTTTTGGATGGATTGAACTACAATTGTATAGCTCTGATCAAGCTAATAAACGGGCCTAATGTGACTCTTGAGGGCCCCAAGATGTTTCATTAGGTCGGCTTTCCTTTGCTGTGTGCTTAGGGTAAGCTATATGGACTTATTGACTTGGGCTTAAGGATACAAGCTTCATAGCCTATCCTTAAGTCGGCTTTCTTTTTGCTATGTGCATAAAGTAAGCTATATGGAAAATAATTTTGGGAACTACTGATGGTGTACCAGAAAATGGTTTAAACTATGATTTTCAAAAGTTAAACTCTTTTACGAATTTGTGAGATTTACTGAACTATGATTTGTTTAATGTACCTATTGTGATTTTATGGTAATGCTGGGACACAATGAGCCTAGCTCACCTTTCGAAAATGTTTTTCCCCTTTCAGATACTGTTGGTTAGATACCTCGGTTCGAGCACTTGGAGGATCAACATATCTCTTGAAGTATATCTGATTGTAATATTTTAAACTTGCAAGTTGACTATATTCTAGTGACATAGACCTATTTTAAAGTATTGGATTTTATAATGATGATACTTTTGCTATTACTATTCAGTTTATCGTGGTTTTGATTTTTAAGATATGTTTTAAATTAATTTATTACTGATTGGTTTTATATTTAAAAGTTGAGTTTTAATAGTATAATTTATTATAATTTCATGTCATGAATAATGTGGTTTTACATTGATTGGATATCGGTTTTGGAAAATGTCTTTGTGATCCACTAGACTTAGTCGAAACGCATAGGCCGGGTCTAGGGGGTTACAACTTGACTCCTGAATTTTAAATAGAATATTATTTTAAATCAATCTTTAGATAAAATACTAATCTAACCTTTAAATTAAATAAGATATTAATTTAACTCCTTAATCCAAACAAAATCCCTATCATCGGTACATAATGAATTACGCCTTCATATTAGGTTGCAAGCCGGGAACCGAGTTGGGCTCTCGACAAGTTTTGCTTATGAGCTTCGGCCTTGGAACATCCAAACTTGATATGCAAATGGATTCCAAAGCAAAAGACTATACAACCTTCACCCAACTTCTTCCTTTATTATTGGTCCTGTTAACTAAGATCAACATTCAACAATCAGTTTAGTCAATATTTTGGTCCCATTGATCTTCAAAACAAACATGCACACATTTTGTAATTTATACTCGTCATCTTGTTCCTGTCATTCAACATTTTGTATCGATTAAGTCGAATCTTCCTCCTCACATGCTTGTTTTATTGTATCCGAGTTCCTCTATACAAGGTAAATTAAACAGAAAATGTGAATCATTTCCACATTAAAGTTAATCATAATTGTGGATTTAACATATCTTTTCATATTGCAGGTCACACTCTCAGATTTCTTCTTAGTTGATCAATTAACTAGTCAGATTTGGGTGAAAAATATACTCTTTTCATTTTTGTCATCTTTCCAATTGGTTTTATATCTGAAAGTGCTTATAATGTCAGAACCTTGTGATTAATTTTGCAGGTGCAAGCCATTAAGAGCTTGGAAGTTTACGTTTGCTATTATGTCTGGGGGGATTTTAAGCATAGTAAGCACACTTGCAAAAGGAGTGATGTGTTCCAAACTTTCTACTTCATCGTGGCAGTGCTTTCGTACATGGGTTGTCTCCTCCAGTGCTTGTATCGTATGTTCGAAGAGAGAGATCCAATCCAAGGATACAAAATGGACTCAAATATTTCCTCACCATTTGTAGCTGTTTGTTTGAGAACAGCCTACCATGTTAACACGGGAATTGGATGGAGAGTTATAGTTGAGATTGTCGATCATTGCATCAATATTTTGTATATATTGGGATTTCGTTTATGATTGGGGCTCCTGAACTGACACTCCAAGAATCCTTGGTTGAGAGAAAAACTTTTTGTTTATTAAAAAAATTAATAGTTTACCTAAAGTTTTGGGATCAAATTAAATTTAAAATCAAAATCATATTGTATTTATATTTTAGGGTTAATTTAAAATTTAATCATTTTTATTAATATGTACCATCATCAAACTAACTAAAATTCCAATAACTAAAATATAATAAATTGATAACGTAAATGATCAAAATTTAATTTTTTTAAAAAAAATCAAAATAAAATAGATAAAAAATAAAAGGATAAAAAATTACCCTAATTATATAGTTAAAACAGTTTCTATATGTGATTGAGCGGTTTTAATGGTTAGAATGAGTGTTGTTCTCTCTTTAAATTTTGAATTCAAATAGCTACGATTACAGGGTATGGTAAGTTATCAATTATAAACACGATTACAAGCATATAAAAGATGATATACGTTCCGTAATTAAGAATTTTAATTAAATTATTAAGGTGATAAAATCAAATCCCTAGAGGAGTGGTCTGATTCTCATCCAAAGCATAGAGGGTGGAAATAACGGTCATTGGAAATTGAAAAAGGATAATTACTTTTTCAGCAAACCTGAAACTAAAAGAAATAAATACTCCTATTCAAAAAAAAAATACTAAACTCAATGGTTAAAGATTATGTTATTTTTTCGTAAGGTTCTCGATTCGAGTAGTTATATCTATAACATGTACATGCATTATCAATAATTAATTTTTTTTGAACAATTACTACTCTTATAATTACCTTAAATTATTTAAAAATAAAATAAAATGAAATACTCAAATCAAGTTGTTAGGTATGTGGAATGCATAAGTCATAAATTATGATTGGGTGGTCGGTCCATGCATGTGAACTATGTATGGTGTAATATCAAGTATGATTTTTATTTCATACTTAAATAGTTGGAATTTGACACCTAACACTCATGGATGGAATCCCATCAAGTATTTTATAGTTAAAAAATATTTCTTAAAATCCAAGACGAATCGCCTGTGGTTAACCTATGTTTCTTTTACTTTAATCAAGTTATTATTATTATAAATAATTTATTTTCTGACAAAATAAACATAAGAATATGTCTAATAGTTTGAATTGAATAAGGGATGGAAGCTTGCAATGATGGAAAGACTATCGTAAAATGAGTATTGCTTAGGCTAGCTTCCTTTCATTTAAACAGTGTATCTTTAAAATTAAAAAAAAAAAAAGAATTTAACGTATACTTTAATATTTCTCATTTTATGAAAGTAGATTAAACATTTTATGAAAGTCGACTCATAATGCATAGAATGATGAATAATCATCGGGTAATATTAACCATTCGTAAAATATTCAAAGCTAAAAGCAAGCTAAGTACGTAGAAATGTACGTACCCACTCATATTCTCATGCAAAAGCTTTAAATATGTCCAAAACTAATTTACTTTAGTGTGCGAATAAGTCTTAAAATAATAATTTTTATAACTCAATGTTAGACACTATAATTATCAGTAATTATGATAAATTAAATAATCACAATGACTCTTTGAATTAAAATCTATTTATTCGACATTAAAAATTAAAAATGATAGAATTTTTAGGATGAGTATACTGTCTCAAAATATATTTTCAATAGTTATATAAAAGTTGTCATATATGTTATTTTGTTAGAGATAAATGACTCTTCATTGATTATGCATGAATTACTTATACATATCTCGTGTTAATCAATTAAAGATATATATCTTTAATTAAAAAATATTTTATTAGAAATTCATCATTGTAATCAAATGATCATAAAAATTCTGATTTGTTATAATGCATAAACAATAAAAAAAAGGAAGAAGAAGAAGGATTGGAGGCCTCTGTTCCCCTTTGCTTGATTATTAATATTGAATTAAATTTGAAATCTGATCGTTATGAAGTGATCATTATGATATGAGTGGAGTAATTAAAGATGGAAAAACGTTGAGGTTGGCCTAAACCACATTATCCCACAAAGTGAATAGCCGTCGCGTTTAAGTTTTTTTAGCCATTTTGGATTCATCCTTATCCTTAATTCAAAGGTTATCGTTCCACCCACAATCTCTTGCGTTTCATGGTTATGATGTGACATTAATTAAACACCATAACCCACACCCACCCACTATTTCCCAGAATCAAATCATATCAAGGTCCATTGTTGGTTTGGCAAAATCACCCCCACTTTCAATTCCCCAAAAAAGGCCTATCGTCAAATCGTAAGCAAATTTGGAATCTTTTTATGAAATTTCTGCAAATTCACACCACCGTTGAATCCCAAATAGTATCATACTATAAATCCAAAAACAAAGCCATTGTTTTACAGGGAAATGGGGAACAGCATGGGAGGAAGAAACAAGGCAAAGGTGATGAAAATCGACGGGGAAACAATCAAGTTAAAGACACAAATCCGAGCTTGGGACTTGTTGAAGGATTATCCAGGCCATGCCTTGTTGGATTCAGAGACCGTCAAGCATTACGGGATCCGTTCTAAGCCATTAGAGCCACAACAAGGTTTGAAGCCCAAGAGAATTTACTTCCTGCTGGAGTTGCCCGATGATAAAGCACCCAGGAGAGTCCGATCAGGAGGGATTCATATGAGCGCCAGAGATAGGTTAGAGTGCTTAATGTTGTCGAGAAGAACGGTCTCCGACTTGTCCGTGGTTAGAACATCGTCCAGCCTAGGGTCTGATGGGGTCGGAGCAACAGGGTCCCGGGGAATGATGAGTGTCAAAATGAGGCTGACCAAGTCTCAAATGGCCAAGTTGGTTGAAGAGAGCAGAGATGGTGTCGAGGTGGCGGAGAAGATACTACATCTTTATATAAAAAAAGGTGGCAGTGACGGCGATGATCATATCCATCGTTAAGCGCCCTGGAAACCTGGCCTTGGCAGCGTTGGAGAAAACTTTAAGGCCAGACGTGAGGTATGCTAATTTTTTATTGGGTGAACAACGTATTAATCACCAACTATTATTGCAATTCTGTTTTGGTCATTCAACTATCCCAAAATCATATAAAATGTTACATTTTCATCATCCTTCCTTAAAAAAAATTAATGGTGATATTGATGTATTACTATAAGATAATGTCACGTCATCATTAAAAAAACTATAATATCAGCATTTTTATTAATTTTTTAAGACATGATCAAAACGAATTAAAATGTAATGTGAGGTATGCTTTTAGAAAAAAAATAGTTGGGTAACCAAAAAGGAACAGTAGAAATAATTGGATGACTAAATATGTCGTTTAGCTTTCTCTATTTTATGTTTACATTTACTTCAATTAATTTCAAACAAAGAAAATCCAGGAAAGTTCACCTGTTAACAACTGAATTTTAAATGGTTTTTTTTAGTTTCTAATTTGGAATACATAACATATATTTTTACTATGTCCTAATCTTTGTACATTTTGAAATTTAGTTTTTAGTTTAAAAATTATAGTTTAATTGATAACATTTGTTAAACGTGAACTTGTTGGTTTTAGTTGTAATTATTCGAAAATAATATTAGAAATTTCATCTAAAATATAAGATTAATTGATAGCACATTTCAATCTGAATTATCATATTATTATTGATTGAACTTTGTTTTAACCTATCATCTAAGAAAAAAAATTATCAAAAAAAACAAATGATCCCTTGATTCTTGAACATTATTATAAAGCTTGCACCAATTATCTACCGGCATGCTCCCATGCCCAACTTCTTAACCTGTCCTTATTCCTTAGTTGGAAGTAGGGTTTAGGGTTTAGGGTTTAGGATTTAGAGTTTAGGGTTTAGGTAGCATAGGGTTATTAAGCAGAATGAAACGTCATCGTTAATAAGCAAATGAAAAGTACAATTAGGAGGAGGGAGTACTCTCTCATTAAATCGTGGGTCTATGTGGGGACGTAATTTTAATGTTGCAGATTCAAAGTTGCTCACTTTAAGCTGCTCAAGTAGGCACAGCCTTATAAGTGACTGATAGCTTAGTTATGCGTACTTTTTCTTTTTGATGATCATGCAAGCATGGTCAAGTTGTATAATAAAAGTATTTAAGATATTTATTTAAATTTTAATACATTGAAAATTTTGTATTGTTTAAATTAATTGTGAGTTGTTTATGTTTTCATGTTATATTTTTAAATCAAAATAAAAATTAAATAAAACTCAAACGTAACATAATATCGAGTAAGACTCAAATATAAAACTTTAAAATTATAAGACCTCACCTTTTATCATCGGTGTGAAGGCCTCATTGGCAGAGTTTCAATACATATATTAAGCTATGAACAAGTCCAAAGACAAGATAGCCTAGTTAATGAGTGTGCTTAATTAGGATGGGACCAACCCAACTTCCAATTAGACTTGGGATTTAATTAAGTCCAATCGTGCACGAATCAATTGACCTCAATGATTAAATAAATATTTGTTATCCTTAAAAATTTTAAGTTCGAGTACAATGTCTGTAAGATTGTTTGAGAGTTCATTGTCAAATAATTGAAAGCTTTGTGAACGTATAATATCTTGTAATCACGAGAAACTAATAAAAAGAATAATGAAGGCGCATAGCTAACACTCCATTCCAATTTCAAACATCACATTTTTGCTCATTACTTGACCAATTGTATCTCACCATAAGGATGATGATGATTACTTGGGGAAATACGAGGACCGTAAAAGAAAGCATGAAAACGAATCCACTTTGGACTGCCCAATTGGGAAATTCTCAGCCGTTTAACTTGACTTATCCATCATTAACAAATAAAACAATTCAAGTACTGATGTGCCAAAATAATCGACATTGATGCTGACTTGATTCAATTGAAACCTGCCCCATCTCCAATAAGAACCGAGTGCCACTTGGACCAGGCAACAACATCATATACAATTACAAACCATGGAGAAAGTAAGAAACAAGAACTTGATTGATTTTATAATGTACTACAAATGACAGTTTCTTTACAAGCAAACTATAAACTATACACATGCGTACAACATCATCATATAAATTTCCGGTTTATTCACATATTTCCTTTACCAGTCACCCGACACCACCACAAACGGCCTGGACTGGCATTTTTCACTATATGGTAACATACACCAGCAAAAAGAAAAAAAGGAAAAACAGAAGCAATCATAAATCAGTCGGGGTGCAAACCAGAGCTCTGTGCTGTAAATTTCTCAAGCTCTGCTCCATGCTGACTTGGACCATCTCAGCCACCATCTTCTTTGCCTTACTAGATTGGTCGTCTCCATCCATCTGACAGATTATGTTGCAAACAATGTTCTCTAGTGTGTCCGGTTGAAGCTCGGATCTCGGATATGGACTCTCCCTCAATAACCTCAATAGGGTCTTAGCTTTTGTCTGAGACTTGGGTGTTCCTTGCACTGTTAGCTCCAGTAGTCCAGGAATCACACCTTCTCTAAGAATCGGTTCCCTATATTTACATCGATCACTCTCGCATGTTGTCAGCAGTGCCCCAACAGCATGTTCCCTAGCTTGGAGAGTGCCGTTCTCGAGCACCTCGACAACTGCTAATATTCCACCTTCTTCAGCTGCCAAAGCTGTTCTTCCTTCATCGAAACCCACCAAGAAAGCTATCACGGAACAACATTTCTCGGCTGTTTTTGAGGACTTTTTCGAGGCTTTCAGTAAACTAACAATGGAGGGGATGGGACTGGTTTCACTAATGACGGTAAGATTGTTAGCATGTGTGGAGAGATTGGATAGAGCCGTCACAGCATCAACCTTAGCTTGTGTGGTTCCATGTCTAAGCATACGTCCAAGCAAAGGAATGGCACCGGATGCGCCGATAATAGGCTTGTTGTTGACAGAAGCAGATAGAGTGAGCAATGCTGCTGTTGCAGACCCTTGCAGGTTTAAGTTATCACTTTGAAGGAATCTAATAATTGGATCCAAAGCACCTGCTTCCACAATGCTCATCTTATTCCTGCACAATTTGATGCAAAACAATATTTTAATAACATTTTCTCCTCACTCAAACATCAAATTTAAGGTAGAGGAATGTAATATCAATCAACATCAAAATATTCCTGCCAGATTGGATTAAAGTTTTTATAATGATTTCCTCGTGATTGTTAATTTTCTAGGCAATAAAAAATCAAGATCATTGTCTTCATCTTAACATAGGATTATTAGCTAGACTAATAGTTGTACAAACTACCGGAATCAGGATTAGTATCAAAACAATTGAATATTACTCAAAAGTTGTAACTTCTCCTATGTGAAAGATCATATATGTGACAAATATTCGTAATATAACGAAAATAAAATTGTAAAACAAGGAACGCATAGATTTACGTGTAAAACTCAAAACATAGAAAATCATGAGCAAGGGATAAAATTCACTAAATGTTGAAAATAACGTAATACAAGAAGATTTACAATACCCTAAACCACCACACCGCTTCTCTTTAACCGCACACCTTAAACGATTAATTCCTACCTCTATTTGTAACTTGTAAGATCACCTCACCGTTTCTCTCTAACCGCACACCTTAGAGTCTTAGAAGACTAATTCCTATCTCTATTTATAAGATCAATTATTTGATTACGAAGAAAACTTGAGGAACAAGAAATTTACTTCAATAAAGTTTTCTACTTTTCAAACAAAAGCTAACATTAGAAGTATACTCTTGCACGGATTAGATGTGCAGAAAGACCAATTTCGACCATAGGACGTAGGACTTTTTTTCCCTATTTCACTTCTTCATCAAGCTAGCTGCACCATGAACCTTTTGAGCCACCAAATTGAAATTTGAATCATAAAATCTACATAATATCTTATAGTATTTTGAAGAAAAAAGCATAGAATGATATAGGTTACTAGATTAATTAACAAGTAAAAGTTTTAATTAATCTGCGATTATAAATCTAGAAGGCTTTTAATTAATCCTATCGGATTGAAAGGACACTCTGTTATATTAATCCTATCGGATTTAAATCCTCTTCGGATAGAAGTAGATATATATATATTCCTCCATCACCAAACGAATCGCCATGTCAAAATGATAACTTCAACAAGAAGATAACAGAAAGAAAAAGGAATGTTTCAATAAAGAAGAACAACCACACTTTATAATCAAATTAATCAAAAATATATATACACCCTCCAAACTAAAAGCAGCACCTAATTCTTTGTAAAGGAATAATCCCATAATCAAATTCATCTTCACCATAAATGAGAAGAAAATTAGCCTTATTCAAGTATATTATACGGTAAAAATATTCTGGGGGAAAAGCCAACTTATATTTTGATGGTCTGCTCTGCAGATTTTTCTGAATTACCAATCAGGAAATATATAGTAGTATTTATAAATTATTATTATTTTTCATGTTTAAAAAAAAAGAAACATGTAAAGTAATGAATAATCAACGTGAAGATTAATCCGTTACGAACTCCAATTCCCAATAAAAACTACCCAAAATCATTACACTAATTCTAAAAACCCGAATCACTAAAAAAGTAATTTGAAACGAGCATGTTAGAAAACTTCATTCATAATAAGTAAACACTAGTTGTGGAGGAGATTATTAAAGGGTGAACATACTTTTCATCTTTAACGGCAAGGTTAAGGAGGGCGAGAAGGGCGGACTCGTGGTGGGACTCAGGTGAATCAACTCGGAGCATAGAAACGAGTGGGATAACAGCAACGGAGAGGAGCCGCCGACACCTCTGGGAAGTTTTGGTGAGACGGCGGATTTCCTTGGCGGCTTGCAGCTTGGAATTGGGGTCGTTGTATTGGATTAATTGCAGGGATCGAAGGACGGCAGAGGTTTCTCCACGCAGCGTGACATCCACGTCCGACGAAGAAGGACTGTGAGTGACTGCGGCGGTGTCCATTGGAAGAAGAAAATAGTCGGTGGTGGGAGAGAAA